AATCAGTCACCTTTTGACTGAAAAAAAGCTGTGGAGAAGGGCTGAAAATGGCAGAAGCCAGCACGTGGGAGTTCGAAGAGCGCTGTGGTTAGTTACTTCACAGATGAGTTTGTCCTGTGGGTTGTTTTTTTACTGTGTGATGGGTTTTTCCACCATTGCATATTTTTGTACTTGTACTTTCTGAGTAGGTGAGGATGGAAAAATACATTAGGGGTTGAAGGGTTTTTTTTCTTTTTTTTTTCTTCTGGTCTTATTGTTAGAGATCTGCACCAAAAATACAGACTAAATGCAATGCAGGTGAAAAGCAGTGATCTTTGAGCTCGGCCAGTCAACCAGAAAGCTGCACACCCTGAGCAAGAGGGAAAGTACTTTCATTCTTATTGCATGGTGTGCTGTTTTTGTTGAGCTCAGTAGTTGAATTCTTTATAAATATTTTCTTTGTACTTTCAGAGAGTTTTTCCTTCTTTTTGATAGATCAGGCTTTTATCAAGGTGGTTTGATGTTACAATTTGAAAGATTTGGGGACTGTTCTCCGTTTTGTTATTTATCTGTCATTTAGTGCATCGATCCATTTTTAGCATTTGATGAGAAAAGATTTTTAAATGGCTGTATGTGGCATTCATCTCAATGACAAGGAAGTTACTTAAAGGAAGTTTGTTTTGATTGCATTGATGGGGAGAAACGAACAAAATTAATCTAGTCTTTGTGTATAAGTAGACCCAAGTGTTGCCCAGTTCATCTGACAGCTCTTTCCTGGGCACTGGAGCCCAGTGCAAGCCTCCTCTGCTTGGAAGCAGCACTGCAGGCCTCAATTGAAGAGTCACCCTTTCTTCTTTGCTTTTCCCCTGGTTGTGGAGAGGCAGTTACTTTGCATCTGATTCAGACCACAAGCAGCTTTATTTTCACTTGTGACAGCTGTTCAGTGAGAGTGAAGCAGCCAGTTCCTCCTCTCTGATTGCAGTCCAGAACAGATACGGTCTCTGCTGGTGCCCTAAAGAGTTCAGTATCCCAGGAGACAGTAGAACAGACACCTCGTGCAATCCTCGGCCTATCCGCTGATGTGCCCTTTGAAGATCAATTTAATGCTAGTTCTTTTTGTGTGAGGAAGAAGGGGGTGTTTACAGGAATTGCAATCATCCATTTTCCTTGAGGTGAACCAGAATACATAAAACAGGGAGTTGTTCAGAGGTCCTCTGACAGCCTTCTAGCACGCACCTACACCTCCCCATGCTAGGATCCCATCTCTGTGCTTCTGGACACCTACTCCCTTTTCCCACATACTGCATCCATAAGCTGAGATCTGCCAGCTTTCCCTCATCTGCGTGTCAGACCTTTTTTCTTCCTCTCCCTGGTCCCTGTACTCCCTGTATCACCTCTGACCTGAACAGAAACCATCATGCCAGCAGTGACTGGAGTAAGAACCATGCTTTAAGCAGACTGGAGAGACTGTAACTATTGCCTGTCAGCTGATTGCACATTGCACATTGCAGGTTCTGTGGAAGCATCCACCCCACAACATGGATAAGCGCCCTCATGTCACAGCTCAGAGCTGTTGCTCCATGCCACTGTGAAGTATTTCAGGTTGGAGAGTTTGGGGACCTCTGAGCAGAGATCAAAGTCTTATGAGCCTGTTTTCTTCTTGGGCCAATGTTGGTCCGATACTCCCATTTCTAAATATGAAAATATCATGGTTTGGAAGCACAAGGCAGTGTGTGATGAAAAATATCACTTTCTCTGAACAGTGTTATTTATCTACTTCCTTTGTCCACTTCATTAATGACTAAGTAGTGGTTGAAATAACAGAAAAGATAGGTCCAAGGTTTTTTTAAGGCCATGTTTCAACATAAATCTGTTTTCTTAACATATCCTCTTTCCTTCCTCTGAGACATTTACTATCTTTTTGTGTTTAGAGCAAGAAGAAGGAATGCAGCATGTGTTGTTGCTGCCCTTGAACTTCTTAGCAAAGCTGGCACTGCTTCCTCCTTGGTTTACTTCACTTCTTGTTTTGCCTCTCTATCCACCTAATGCATCAGTTCGCAGGAGGATCCCTTATAAAATGGAAACCTTTCCAGTGAGGCATTTCTTTCCATCCTGTAAAAAGTCTCTGCTGTAAACTTGTTCCAGGTTTATTAACTACTTTGCACCAAAGTCATAAATTTTAATAACTTCTCAGAAGAGGATTTGCCCTCTTTAGATAGGGGCTGACACAGTATGGTACAGCACACTTTCTCCCATATAATAAAATAAATTACAGCAATTGGCTTGTTCCGCCACAAGCCTTATACATATAGCATATCTGTTCATTTTGGGATAGGCTTTAGGCCTGGAAGGAATGCAGAATTAGGAATTGCTATGGAGTGATGTCTCCACAGTGTAATAGCAGCAGGTTCCAGACTTTTAACTGCATAAATGCCTGGCTCAGGGTTGCTGTTACTCCTTCTGTTACTTAATAGCAGAGATACATGATTTGAGGGAAGTTTGGGTATGAATTTTGTGGCTGTTTTATGCCAACACCAGCTACTTCTGGAATGTCTGGGCTCTTCGTAGTCAGGAGCCTGCAAGCAAGGGTAGGTGAATTGCTTCTTGATGGTGTGGAGTGGTGGCTTACAGGGGTGCAGTTACATCAGCTGTGAGGAAAACACCTCCACACCCACCAGAACTCATGCTTAGTTCTCTCACTTGAATTTAGTAATTCCTACCCATTTCTAACAGGTGGGAAAGAAGGATTGTGTTGACTGCAGCTTATTCCATGAGAGGATTGCAAGACTTTAAAGCTGCTCCACTATCTTATATTCTCCATTATCCTGTTTGTACAATAATAGTATTTCACTTTTGGGGTATTAGCACAAACCCAAAAATTTGTAGAACTTAATGAACTTAATTAAGTAAATCGCTTTGAGTGATTTTAAGGGAATGAAATACAGACCTTCTAGCCCCTTGCTTTAACACTTGTGTTTCCTCCTCCAGCTGGCAAATTAAATACAAAACGTAGATGACGAGTAATTATTCTTGTTAGCACATCCACCTTCCCAGTAAAGATGGGTTACACTAATTAACAGAATAGCATTCCTTAATACTGAAACTTCCAGTTAGGTGCTCCTCTGATGAGTTATTCAGGTGGAAGTTTGCTGCTTATGAAGTTTTAAGTAAAGAGAAGCAGCCATCCTTGCTGGATGGCACAACTATAGCCTATTTTCAGACTAGAACAGATGTTCTGGAGATGCAAGTATTGTGCACATCGGAGTGAGCTCCCGTGATGTGGGAAGTAATTCAGGCAAGTACAGAGTCCAGTCTCTTTTCAAACTATTGTCTTGAACCAGGTGCTTCACTCATTTCTTTTGTAGACCTTTAAAGACCTAATCCAAATCCAGTTGATATTAATTGAACCTTTTATTACTTGGTGCGGGGGGGAAGGTCTGAGGTCTTCAGCTAAATCCTGTAGTGCACTGCAATCATTCCAGGCCCCTCTCTCCAGCCTGCTGCTCTCCTCTGCCTAATGCAGTCTAATAAAGTGTCCTTCCCATTGCTTGCAAGCTACCAGCAGTGATATAAATAATTATTATTACTGCATGTCAACACTTTTGGTCTTATTCTTTACTGGATGTTTTTCCAAAATAAAAGCTCTAGTGGATGAAGAAATTATGATTCTAGTCTGAACAGCTGGGGGAGAGGCGGGGAGTGAGTAACAAACCCCACAACCTCGCAAATGTAAAAGTAATGAAGAGTTTTAAACCTCAGTCTTCCAGAAGCTCTGCTGGGCTGCAAGATGACTTTGTCATCTCAGTAAGTTTTGCTTCCAAAACCTAATACTTATAATTTAGATTTCTACATTAACTGTTGCATTGCTGATAATTTTGACAGAAACATAAAGCTGCTTTATTGCAGAGAAAGTATCTGGTCTAACTTTCATTGGTTTAGTTGACAAGGATTTCACTATTGTCCTGGGAAAGCAATTTTGTTTGTTGCCCAATAGATGATAGGAAGTTACCTGACTTGAAATCTAACTGTCTCTTACTCTCTCTTGGCTTTTTAACAGTATGGACTGTCTGCCTCAAACAGTTCAATTTTCAACTTGCACATGATCATTTATACCCACATAACTAGGGTTTTGTTTCTGAATTTCTTGGGTTTGTCTGACTTGCACTATTCTTGAAGTGTCCTTTGAAGTACAAACAAGTCACCCATCTATCTGTTCATCTTACATAGAATTTGTGATAAGTAAAGATGAAGGTCTTAGGCATCCTACCTGCCTGCATATGTGTATGTGTGTATGTATGGATCTCTGGTTGTGGTATGAGAAAGCTCAGGTGCAATGGCATTTCAGCAAGCTGCATCATGTGGCATTATTGGAAATGCTTCTTTATGTTGTCATTGCTGATTGCAGCAAAGTGCATTTTCCTTTAGGGTTATATAAAATTCATATGATTTCAGAGACACCAGAATGGTAGTTACAGCTAAGGGGCTCCCTTCTTTGCAAATCTTAGAAAATGTGTAGGACGCCTGATGGCACGAATCAATATTCTGATTTTTATGTCAGGGTATTGTGGCAGCACATTCTGCTCCTTTAGCTTCCCTTTTTGTTATGTCAGTATACACTGTGACTCTGCTAGCCTGCTTCCCTCTCCTCTGTGCTCATAGAAAGCTGGCTTGCTTGGGGATAGAATATCTAAAGAGGAAAAGGCAAGTGTCCCCCATGCATGGTGCACCTGCAGATATTTAGAAAATGTACTGGTCTCTCCAAGAAGGTAGGTACTACTTTGCAACAGCTCTTTAATTCTTGGCACTTTGTCTAGGTATCAAAGGGTGAGATGGAGAACTCAAGCTGTGGCGTTATAAATAAACAAGAAAGGTAGGAAATTAATGTTAGGAGTGCGATCTGTTAAGTACCGCTTGTGATTACCTAGCTTAGGGAATGATCTGAGATGACTGATTAGAGTTTCCATGCTGAACCCTTCTTTGTGGCACAGTCCTGATGCAGTTTCTTTCATTTTTATCTTCAGGGGCTTCTGTAAGTGGGAAGAAGGATTCTGGTTGTGTGACAGCAGCCCTTGGCAACACGTGGAGTCACAGCGTCAACACCAGGCTCATACTACAATATCATGACTTGCCAAAAAGGCAGGTGAGAAACAATGAATAGAATTTAAATAAAGCTACACCAGCAGTGCTCGGTCAGATGGGCTGTGTCCTTCAGCCTCTGTGGTTATTCTAGGTGTGTTGAGAAGTTGGCACTCTAGAGCCAATTGCTTATTTGGGGTGGGGGGTAGTCAGTGTCCTTTGGTTTTAAGGGATGGCCATTGTCTTCCTGTGTTAGGATGGGCTTGTCTGAGTCACAGTTGGCACAGGCATACAAGTTTCTTGAGCTTTTAGTGCGTTCCACTAGTGCATTGCAGAAATGAAAGAGCTTACCTGCACAGGGACTTTGGGGCAGGAGTAGAAACCTTTTACTGCCATGATTCTTTTGCTGTCATGCTGGCTGCTCTTTGTGCCCAGTTTCAGCTGTGAGTGTTACGACAGGGAGCACTCTATCTTCTGTGATTGCTCTTTCTGAGTAAAAGCTTGCTGCTTGCACCAGCAAGCTTAGCTTTGAGCAGTAAGTATGGCACCAATTTTCCAGAAGTATGCCTGCAAATAGGAGAATGTTGAACCCTTTTTGCTAAGAGACTTTATGCTTTTGAGTGAAATATAGTAGCATTCTGACTGCAATCTTCACCTCTTAATTTAGAAAACTGTGGAAAAACTAGGAGACAAGACATTTGGGGAATGATTGAGGGAATAAGGGGTTTTTTGTGTTTTAAAAACACCATAACCCCTGATTTCATCTGTCCTTTGGGATATCTGTGGTTATAATCTATTTTGGCTTTGTCTGTTCTGTTTTTGCATTGATGTAACTCTTTCCAAAGGCTGTGACCCTCAGTCTTAATGTTATTGATTTTCTGCCAGTTAAAGTAGAGAGCTGTCAGAAAAATTGCTATGTGATATTTGTACCATCTTACTTCTGTAGCATTATTACCCATGTGCATTCAAATTGGTCCTCCTGGCTTTACTGCCACAGCACAAAGTTTCTCACTTTTTGGTTGCCATCTTTAGAGCAAGAGAAGAGGAAGCCATCCTATTTTGTTAGAAATTTATTTATTAGAGGTTAAATTATAATGATAATACTCCTGTTCCTATGAGTAGTGGGCACAGTGGTAGTCCTCTGGACTCTGAGGGAGGAGGTTAAGTGTGTCAAAGGAAGGTAGAAAAGGCATCTTCTGGACTCGCTTCTAAAAACCATGCATAGAAATGTACTTTCTGCTGCTGCTCTTAGAAGTTCTTTTCTGTTCTGCTTCTTATTCTGGTCTGTAATGAGTTCTCCTTTTCTACAAAAATACTAGGTTGTGCAAAATACAAAGCTGTTCGCAAATTTCCTGGATCGCTTTGGAGTTACATGAGAGGTGGAGTTGGCTGAGGGTAAAGGGCAGGAACTGGGCCCTGTGCTACTTCATGATGCACAAAGTCAGCTAAAAAGGATTAAGAACATTCTTCTGGTGGGGGAAAAAGAGAGCAGTTTTCCTAAAGAACATTCAGATATTACATGTAGTTTTTCCTGATTTTGTTTTAGAAGTAACAGATCACAAGGGTATGAAAAGCTGTGTTCAAGTTTTTAAAATTATAACCTGCTTAGCAGAGTTTTCCTCTCTTCCTGACTGGATTTATCAGGTGCAGCACCTTGCTTAAGTGTGAAGCCATGGGCTCACTCTTTTTTAATTAGGCAGAGAAACTAAAGCTACAGTGAAGAAAAACAACCTTAAAGTAAGTGTTAGCATATATTATTAAAAGCAAAGTAATTTGAAGTAGAAGTGTGATAGGTCTGTGAAGTCCATGAATGAAATGGGATATGTCCACAATATCCTGTAAGTATTTTCCTCTTGCTGGTATCTGTGTCCTTTTCTCAGATAAATTCTCTTTTCTTAAACTCACAAAAGTCTTTCAGGTAGACATGCAGTTTCCAGGAAGGCATCAAGAGTCACCCTACCTGTAGCAACACTGTATTGATCAAATTACTATAATTGTATGCATGTATGGTCCTTTATAATTGTTTTATACCCACTTTCAGAACTGAACTGTGGATAAGGGTGCCTCAGTTCTTGAGATGCCATTTCAGTCATCATAAGGTGGTTCTGCCGGGAGTGCTTTGAAAATCAGCATTTTTTAAGGAAGCTTAACATGAAAATCTAAAAATTCTTAAGTCAGTAATTACATTTAAAAATTCTCATATTACTGTATTAAAACAAGCAAACAAACAACGCAGAAACACGTGATTATATGTAGTCATGGTTTTGAAGTGAAATTTTGCCCTGAAAAATTACTGAAAGCACACAGTTGTTCCAGAGACTTTAGTGAAAAGTAGTGCAAAACCAAGTTTTTCCTGCTTTTCAAAATTTGTAACCTTACAGAATCAATACTATACAAGGAATACCCTGTGTTTTCATAGAATTATTGAATATGCTGAATTGAAAGGGACCCATCAGGATCATCAAGTTCAACTCCTGGCCCTGCACAGGACAACCATGTGCCTGAGAGCGTTGTCCAAATGCTCCTTGGACTCTGTCAGACTTGGTGGTGTGACCACTTCCCTGGGGAACCTGTTCCAGTGCCCAACCACTCCCTGGGTAAAATACCTTTTCCTAATGTACAACTTAAACCTCCACTGTCTCAGCTTCATGCTGTTGCTTTGAGTCCTATCATTGGTCACAAGAGTGAAGAGATCAGTACTTGGCCCTTCATGTTCTCTCATGCGTACGGTGAAGATTGCAATGAGGTCTCCCCTCAGTCTCCTCTTCTCCACACTGAACAGACCAAGTGACCTCATACAGCTTCTCCTCAAGGCCCTTCACCATCCTCATTACCCTCCTTTGGACACTCTCTAAGAGCTTAATATGTTTCTTACATTGTGGTGCCCAAAACTGCACACAATATTCAAGGTGAGGCCACCCCAGTGCAGAACAGAGCAGGACAATCCCCTCCCTCAATGAGCTGGTGATGCTTTGCCTGATGCCCCCAGGACACAGTTGTCCTTCCTGGCTGCCAGGGCACTGCTGACTCAAATTCAACTCACCGTGGACCAGGGCCCCCAGGTCCCTTCCTAGAATCTCATTCCCCAGTCTGTATGAACATCCCGGGTTGCCCCATCCCAGGTGCAGAATCTGTTACTTGGCCTTGTTAAATGTCATACAGTTGGTCATTGCCCATCTCTCTTATTTTTCAACATCTTTCTTCAGGGTCTCTCTGCCCTTGAGGGAGTTGACAGCTCCTCCCAATTTAGTGTTGTTAGCAAACTTAATATGCTTTTGAGTCCTGCGTCCAGATTGTTAATGAAAATGTTGAAGAGCATTGGGCTGAGGATGGAGCCCTGCAGAACCCCACTAGTGACTGGACACCAGCCTGGTGTTACCCCTTTCGCTGTAACTCTTTGTACCTGACCTGTGAGCCAGTTGCTCATCCATCGCGTAACATAGTTATTCAGCTGTATGCTGGACATTTTGTCCAGAAGGATGCCGTGAGAGACAGTATCAAAAGATTTGCTGAAGTCCAAAAGGATTACATCTACTGGCTTTCCTAGATCAACTAGGTGAGTTAGCCTGTCATAGAAGGAAATCAGATTCGAGAACCACAACTTCCCCCTCATGTAGCTGTGCTGGCTGTGACCAATGACTGCATTGTCCTCCAGGTGTTTCTCAATACTTTTCCGTAATTTTACTGGGCACTGAAGTGAGACTGACAGGCCTGTCGTTTCTGGGGTCCTCCTTCTTGCCCTTCTTTAAAATTGGGACAACATTCACCAGCTTCCTGTCAGCTGGGACCTCTCCAGTTTCCCAAGACCACTCAAAAATCATTGAGAGAGGTTTTGTGGTGACATCAGCAGCTCTTTGAGGATTCTGGGTTGAATCCTATCAGACCTCATAGATCTATAAGGATTCAACTTGAGCAGCAGATCCTGCACAATTTCAAGATCGACTGGGAGTTGATCATTCTTGCAGTTGTGGTCTTCCAGCTCAGGGGACTGAGACCCCCTTGGTCTATCAACCATGTTGAAGACAGAGGCAAAGAAAGCATTAAACACCTCTGCCTTGTCTCTGACCATGTTTCTGAGGTGACCCTCCTCGCCCTGTAATGGGCTGATGATATTTCTATACTGCCTATTGCCATTAATATGTTTGAAAAAACTCTTTTTATTATCCCTCACATTTCTGGCCGGCTCCAAGTCCAGCTGAGCTTTGACCACACGAACTTTCTCCCTACAGCAGCAAGCAGCATATTTGTATTCTTCCCATGTCACTTGACCTTGCTTCCACTGGGCACACACCTTCCTTTTCCTTGCACAGTGGACACAATTTTTTCTTTCAAATGCTAGAATTCATTCTTTATTCACTTGACCTCCCAAAGATGCTCTTCCTGGCTCTACTTTCCCTCTTTCTTTTCCTGGAGGAGGTGGCACAGTGGTGACAGTCTGTGGGATTTTCTCTCATTACGTCTGACTTCCATGGTAGTAGAGTCAGTGCACTAATCCTCGATGCAAAATCCCACCCATCAAGAGAGAAAGCACCTCTTGAGAAGCACTTGGCCAATGTTGGTATTCTTCAAAACATGAACCGATAATGTAGTTGTTAAGGAGGATTCAAGCAAGTGGTTTTCCAGAACCATAGTATCTCCTGGACAGGACAGCCTACTGGGCTACTAGGTGCTTGTTTTTAGTCATGCAGTATTTGTTTCTGAGAAAGTTCAGGGACAGAGTCCCTGTTCCTAAAACTTTGAGGAATGCCAGGGGAGCAGGTGGCAGAACAAGTATGCAACAAACTAGGAAAATTAAGCGTAGAACTCCTGTACAGTTGGGATTTATTTCAAATATTAAGTAAAAAGTGCCTTTATTTTGTTTGTCCAGTAGACATTTTCGAGCCAACTATCCCTTTTTCCACCCCACCCTTCCTATGTCTGGTGAACATTAATAAGACAGCAGCCAATTCAGCAAAGTAATGAAATTTCTGGGACATCCTGCCTGCCTTAAAATCAATTGGGTTTGTTTTATTGCTTGGATAGGAACAGGTTTCTGAATAAACAGATGAACTTTGCTCTTCTGCC